ACCTTTAAATATATGTTTTCCCAATATAAATAAATAGAATAAAATACATAAAGAATAATATACATATAATCTTAGTGATTCTTTCAGAAGATTATATGAATTAATAAAGAAAAATAAAATAAAATAAGAAAATAAATTAATGTTAATGTTAATTAAATATATTAATAATATTCTATAATCCCTTGATATTAACTACTAATTGATAACACATGTTAATTAGTTAAATTATGTTGGATTAATAATTACTATAAGTTTTGGGTTTCATGTCACTCCGGAGCTTTGAGATTGGCAGATGTCATGTGACTTTGGATATGTGTTTTAGTCTAATCATTAGTGTTCTTTGGCCAGAGATCTAAATTCTTGATTATTAAGAAATCAGTATTGACAATGTCTTTTCGGCCATTAATAAAAGATGTTTTTTTCATCAAAATACCTATAGTCTCTTAAAATTGTTTGAGTGATTGTCATCTGACGTTTCGAAGAAAATCGGAATTTTTGCCAGACATCTATAGATTTGTTACACAGAAAGTATAAAAATATAGTTTGTTATATTGGATAGGTAAAATTAATTAAAATTTTTTATATAACATAATAAAATTTTTTCTTAACAATATAAAATATACAATTATAAAGATGTCGACATTTCATTTTAGTTTATTTTTGAATGTCTAAATCCATCAAAATTTAAAATATAAAATCAAATGACAATTTTCTTATGACATTTAATCTTTATTGCAATAGTTTGACTTGATCTAATAAGCAAATGACGTTAGCCTGATTGAATAAAAAAACATTTTTTTCTTGTATAATTATTTCAAAATTTAATTTGCCTCCAAAAAAATAATCACCCGATATATAGTATTTTTTCAACAACCTTGATATTTTATTTAAACACTATACAGTATAAAGTTTTTTATAAATTTTTTTAATAATCTATTGATTAAATATTTTTTTAAATTTTAAATTAAACAAAAAATACTTATCTGTTGTATTTGGATATTCTCATTTGTGTTTAATAAAAATGTTGCTTTTAAAAAAAGGTTTTATTTAATGTAGAATTTTTTTTATTTCATTTTGATAATTATGAAATAAATCATTATCTTTTGTAAGATATAACATGTAAGCATAACTTCGAATTTTTATAATTATTTGTTGATTTTAATTTATAAATATTTCAAACATACCCCCACGAATTAATAATAACTTTGCTTGATATAATTTGATACTTCGGTAAAATTGAAAATGTTCAAATACATAATATTATCGGTTTATATTCAGCAAATTTCAATGGTTTGTTACTATAAAGTTGCATTTTCTGATTTTGTATATGTATATACATACCAAATAATAAATCAGAAAATTAAATTGTCTCTAAGAACTTTTCTACTTAAGGTAGATACGAACTTTAATTCAAAATTGAAAAAAGGCAGCCTAAAACCTTAGTTTTGTTATATTAATGTTAATTAATAACAATGCTATCACTCATTGGAGCTCCGATATCCCAAACCTCTAATGTCAATTGGTTCAAATGATATTTTTATATATAATGAATAATAAACTAAGGTTATGTTATGATAAGTTATGCAAATGTCTACAGTAATTGATACAAGATTGAACAGTACGCCTTAACACCAGATTATTTTTTTTTTTAACAAATCTACTTTAGAATATTATACATGATAAATAATTTAAAATAAATATATAAACCGCTAATGTTGCCAATAAGGCATTCTTGGAGATGCAATATTTCTATCCTGATGGGAGTAGCTTGTTTCAGCTTGTCCATAATGTCGATCCGATCTGATAGACGGCTGCCTATATGGTGATGATGGTGATGATGGTGAACTATTGTAAGAGTTGTATGAATGACCATTGTACGGAGATGGATCCACCCACTTAGAACCATTATTATTATTATAGGGAGTTTCGTCAACCCACGTGGGCTCCTGACCATTATAAGGAGCTGCGTTTATCCACGCAGATCTTTGACCATCAGCGTTATATACGTTTGCCGGAGGAGGAAGATTTGGATCTGTCCCGTTAGGGGGTGCGGAAAAAACTCGTGATTTCACCACTTTACGTCTTCTGAAACATCGGAAAATGCATTGCAATATGCTGTAGAAAAAATTTGAGAAGAAGGTTATGATTGACACAAAAAAATGACAACAGTAGTAATAACACATAATGAATGAATGACAATACCAGAGCAATATTAGCACTCCAAATACTATTCCAATTGGGATGATAAATTGTTTATATTGATCAAACCAACCTTTTATCGTATCAGCTAAAATGGGTAACGTTTAAAAATTTTAGTCTAATGAGGAAACAAGAGTTCGTAAATATATAATCAATCTTTTATATAACTTACTTATCGATCCGCTTTTACAGTTTCCCTGGGAACATGTTCCACCGAACCCACATGGGGTTCCATCTATAAAATTTCCAGTCATCTGCAAACACGTATTTGAGCTACTTGGATCGGCACAAAGAATCGCACATGAGCCCGAATCGGATGCGCACGCTTTGGTGACACCCATCCTAGAACCCCTCTGAAGACATTGAAGATCTCTTGAAGTGCACTGACCGTTCGCACATGCAAGACCACTGGAATTACCACATGAAGTGCCATCTGCCACGTGAGCGTCAGAAGGACAAACCCCCGACGTGCCATTGCAATATTCGACAATATCACATTCGGAACTTGAAGGACGACAAATGGTGTTGGCGGGCTTGTAAGAACAATTCGTGCAACACATATCATTCAGATCGCTACATTATAATATAATAAGGCCATGAATTATTATAGAAGAGGTAAAAATTGTGACTTAACGATAATAGCGAAATTTCTATATACATACTCGCACACAGCCCCATTCTTAAATTTACATGTTGATCCATCACAGCAAGGATCTTTGTCACAATCAGTGCCACCTGGTCACGATTATATACAATCCATTATCAAAAAAGAACATGGTTTAGTCATTCGTATTTCATTTATGCCGTTAAGCAAATCGTCATAAACCGACAACTTACAATCACAATCCTCGCCTTGTTCCTTTAATCCATTTCCGCACATTGCCGAGCTGAGTATGACCTTCGAACCTTGACCCGGGTCTAAGTTATTTCTGGCATGTTAGCATTCCATAGTAAAATAAAAAAAGAGAGAGAAACAAACAAATGAAAGTGGACGAATTTACCTAAAAGACAAGTCCCAAGACCGGGAAAAGCGTAACAAATGTCGCGAATTGAACATGGACTAAAATTACGCGTATGTATAAATAAATTTAATAACCGTGAAAATTTTTTCTATAATTAGGTTTAAATAAAACAATTTTCCGGTGTACAAAAGGTACCTGAAATCATTTGTCAACACATCGCTCGTTGGATTCATGATATATTTTCCTTGAGCATCACAAGTATTTGAATCCAATGGACAACAAGAACAGGCACCCGTTCCACAAGGACATGTGGACGCAACACAATCGTGAATCGCACCTACGATAATATTGAGCATTAATCAAACACCTGTGGAAATTGTAGAACATCTCATACAATGTGTTAAATACCAAATCCGTGACCAATTTCATGAGCGACAACCTTCCATTCATCTTTTACGATTGTAGAAACACCTGTGCCGGAAACATAAGCTTTACCCGCAGTACCTATAGATGAAAAAGTAACATTGTGGCAGGATTTCACATTAGAAAAAATACAAATTTAGTAACAACTTAATTTAAGAATTCATCATTTCCTACCATTATTTTGCAAGCTAGCACCGGATTTGCACAACATTCCCAACCATGCAATACCAACTTTTGAACCAGTACTGAATGAAAAAAAGGTTAGTGACGTCATACGCAATAAATTGAAAACATATAAAGTATACCTACTTGCACTTGGACATCAAATGCCATAATGCGGCCCCATCTTCACCTAAATTATTTAGGAAGATAATAGGCGTCAGTAGAGATCAAATTATTGATGGATGCTATTAACCGATATACCTAATGTTCCTCTCCATTGACTAAAATCGCTTAGCCGATCATCGATTGTATAACTATCAGAACATGGTCGATTCCAAGGTACGGATTGATTAACTGTTTTTGGACAGCTCTGATCTTGAATAACTATATTGAATAAACCTAAAGTGACATTGAAAGTTCGTTCGTAGACTGCCGAAGCGGTACCCCAGTCGCTAAGAATTTGTTTACGAGCTGCGTCGGGGGATGAATAACTTTGAACTAAGGAAATGTAAGAAAATTGAGTGAGCGAATAAGTTGTTTTTGCAACGTCCAAAAATTACACCGATAGTTGATGACCACCGACCATATGTACAATCAGCTGCCGCTCCCTGGAATCAAGAAAAAAAGAAAACCACGATGAGCCAATGCTCACATAGAATAGGTAAAAAAGAAAATAGACCAACCATGTAAGCAATTTTTCGTCCAAGGGGACAGCCGCTCGCAGCTCTTTTGAATAATGGATCGCCATCGCCAAATCTAGAGAGCAATCCTCTCATACGAATCGAAGGATTGTTGAACCCCGAACCCTCCATTCCTGCAAAAATTGCATCATCGTGACGACGCTCACGTCTCCAGTACCTACGATATTCATCACTTATGAGATCATCCATCGCGCAAGACCCTACTCCCTTTGATATGGATCTTTTCCTATTGTGATGATGGGTCCTTTTAGTATCAGAATCACGATATATTATCATGGTGGCTTCACGTTCATTTGGTGAACGTGCCGATATATTTGGTATTTCGGGGTCATCAAAATATTGAGAGATTTTAAAATTCTTGACGGATTTTATGTGATATAGATCATTCTTGAGTGAAAAGGTGCCCTCGAAAGTCGGCTGACGTTTATTTACACTTTAGTTAAAGAAATAAATCTACAGTTTAATTGAAAATTCGAACCACAAGAAATGACTACGGTATAAATGTTATGTCATAACCTACTCGTGTTGCGTCAGACTGATTGGTATTAATGATGATGATAGAATGAGATTAAAATAAGTGGTTAGAAGTTTCACAGAATAAGCTGATCACAACAAACAGTTCGTAAACAATCTTTACCCTCCATCATCCAGTATTTGAATTCTCGCCCATCCAAGTACACCCGTAGAATATTCCAGTTCTTCTGACAAGCTCCTTCTCTTTAGTCCTATTATATCTTCGTTCAGCCGTTTGTCTGTTGAGTCTGTGTCCAGCAAGACTCCCTTGTATAGCCTATAATCATCGTGTATCAGTCTCGTGGTGGTGCTAGTCTGATTTGCATGGTATATGGTGATGGTAGCCTCCGGGTGAAACAGATCTAAATTAGGTTCCAAGTGGAGATTGAATGTTTGATTGAAAGCTACAAATTGTATTCGCATGGAGTCATCGTGTCGTAACGAGGATTCCTGATGCGAATCTGTTCGTTTTAGTGTAGTCGCTTGTGTGTGATCGAATCTGTCCCGGGGAAGTATACGTAAACTAGGGTTTTTCACAAATTCCAGATAGGTCAAAGGATTTGAGGCGACACTAGTTGCTGTTTTTTTTTTTTTTTCACGACCATAATTAGAAAGAGAAAAGGAGAAGAAAGGAAAGAAAAGGAAAGGAAAGAAACCTAGTTTCCATACTGATCGTACCTTGTATGCCGTCCAACACCAATAATACAATAAAAAAACAAACTTTCCAACAAGAAACGGAGGCGAAGACCTCCATGATTTTTTATTTTAATTTTAATATTACAAGAATAGGTGTATGCAACTCTGCATATATCTTTTTTAAAAAAAGGGTGGGGAAGAAAAGAATCGATGGAATCTTCCAATCGTGTATTCAACAGTGCTATTGATATTACGTCGGTAAAAAGTCAACTAGCCAGTTTTAATAGAAACTCAGATAACTAAAATCGGCGTTCTTAGTACATACTTATTAGTCTTAACGGTTTTTTCTTGGCAGCTATATTATCATAACGTAAATAGTATTTTAATGTTTAAAAGTGTGACGAATAAACCGAGAGACTGATAACCAATACCAATAAACCTGCAGAATACGTGTGAGTGATAGTGAATAGAAGAAAGTGATTGTATGATAGTGGGGTTAAGTGAGCGAAGAAATAAGTCGGAGTGTGTAAGGAGTACGGGAACACATAAGTGCGAGCAGGTGATCACCACCAGGTAAAATAGAAGTTATAAATAGCTATCCATAAAGGGAGGAGAAATAAATTAAATGCCTTTCCAGTGACACCACAAATCTATAAATCAACCTGTTATTAATATCACTTTTTTTTAATATCAGCGAATAACAGGAATACAAACTTGAACACGTGCTCCGGATAATAGCATGTATATGCGTAATTAAACGAATGAAATTACTTCAATTCACGAAGCATTGAAACTATTTCTCAAACTTTTTTAAATATGCAATCACTCCGTTTACACCAATAAGCAACGAAATCAGTTATTTGACAGAAATAAATACGCTTCTGATTTTATCAATCGAATGCCAGACTGTGAATGCTAATTTATTGTCTTGAATTTCAATCTTCCATTAAATTTCACTTGATGTTTTTGACATAAGTATTGCTGCGCAACCTTTTTACGTGATGACGCCAAATCACTAACTCGGTGTTCATTCTTTACCTCTTCCTCGTGAAACAATTCTAGATGTACGCTGATTTCAACATAAATGATCTAGTGCGAATAAGGAAATATTGTCGTATGGTTATATCATCGCGGAACCAGATGAAATGAACATCACAACTTTAACATTTGACCTCGCGTCATCTATGTATAGAATGAAAGCGCCCTGGTAACTATATGAACTTGTCTTCAAACAGGTATTTTTATCGGAAAGAACAAAACGAATTTGTATAATTTTTACTATGGGATCGTCACATCCAGTTTATCAGATTTATCAGAGCTGCTATTTTTAAATGTGCAAATAAGTCGCTACTTTAAGTAATTCCCTACCCTCGTTGTTCAAATGGAAACAGAAAAACCGAAATCAAGATTTTACTGCTACCGTGCTACCAATCTTCGAATTTCTTCATGGATTTTGCGGTTTCATTTTTGAAACGCCTAACTCAATAGCATCTTATTTTATTTGTAGTGCAACAAATAATGACCAGATCTACCAAAATGGAACTTCCGTTTCAAAAAAAAAATAATGATAATAATTACACCAATCTTTTCGAAACATTAGAATTCCAGGAATTCCAGATATTATTATCTATCAAAAAAATTAATGTTAAAACTCTTAAATTTCAAAAAATTTTGGTTTTAAAAATATGTAGTAAAAATTTTTTTAAATCGCATATATACCTACATATATATATTTATTTATAATTATATTAATTTATAATAAATAATAAAGTTATTACGTAAATAAAAATAATGATAAATGTTTTATGATATTATTAAAATTTATATTGTATAAATTTATAATACGTAATAAGATTACATTAACATATCTTTAAATGATAAGTAATATTTATTTAAAAAAAATTTTTTTTTATAAAACCTATAAATTCACTAATTTTAAGATTTTTTTTAAATAAGATAGAATTAATTAAGCTATTGGTAAAAAAAACATAAAATTATTAATAAACCATTCGCATTTAAATAATTCAACCAGTCAAATCCTAATTTTTTTTTTTTTAATATTGTTTGTTTTTTTATTAAAACACAATTGTACTTTACATCCAATTATTTTTTTTTTAACTGTTGATAAATTATTTACGTATCATTTGATTTCATACTTGAACTCTTGCTCAATATTTTATTTTATTATTTATAAAGAAACAATTGTACTTATAAACGGGAATTTTAATAGGCCCGGTTTGGACCAATTTTGTCGTGTCGGCCCTTCTCATTTTCGAAGTGCTGTATATAATGGGAATAGATAAATAAACTGCAAGGTCTCCGAAAATAAATAGGACCGACTTGGAACCACTTGACAAGATCCGGACTTTTTGGACCGATTAACACCCCCAATAATACAATAATCTTTTCATATTATGCAAACCATTCCGTTTTAGTTTAATTCAAGTACATCGCATAAAATTTGGGGGATTCGCTCTTTTAATATAGACTCATTTTGACAAACTATCCAATAAACTAGATAAATTAAGACGCGAAAGAACTTTTTTAAATTTATCACCAGTCTTCAAAGTATAATGAGGTTGAAAACTAAAAATAGAACGATTATTCCAGAACTTTTATACCAACGTCCGTAAGACAAACAGATTCAGTAAATGATACTCATACAATGAATATTAAATTGACTAAATTTTTTTGTTCATTTATCAATTACGTTGGTTCTTTGTTCTAAAAATATGAACTTTATTTAATTAACGGCTTGATCATTTTAATTCTTATATTTACTACTATCGATATATTTGTTACAATCCGATTCAAAAAAAAAAAAAAATCAATTAAATTTATGTTTTATTTAAAAAAATAAATACACATATTTTAAGATACATAACTTTAAATAATAATAATTATTATTATTTATTGAAAAAAAAATTTTTTTTTTGTTTTAATAATTTTTGTAATTTAATATTAAGCTGCTTGCTTTTTAATAATTGTTTATTATATTATAAAAATATTATTTAAATTAAAATTTGATTTGAAAAAAAAATTTTATCTTTTTGATATTATTATAGATTTTGAAGAATTCAATTTTTTTAAAAGTTAAATTTTTAAATTTAAATATTTTTCTAAATATTTTATTATAAATATTTATAAATTCATGACTGTTATATTTACAAGAATATTATGTAAAAACAAATAAAATTATATTCTTATATTAATTTTCTTTTTTTATATTTTAAAACCAGAAAATATTATACTTTGAAACCATAATTAATCCATAATTGTATTTTTAATAATAATAATAATAATAACAATATTATTATCAAAAAATTATATACAGTATATTATTGTTATTAATACATTAATATTAAATAAAACATTATTTAAAATTTTTAAAATTTTTTAAATTTCAAATATATTTTTCATATTATTGACAAAGTATAAAACCAAAAATTTTAAAAGAAATAATAAAAAAAAATCAATTTTAATTTATACGTATATTATTTGAAATATATATATACAAAAAACAATATTTTTAATCCTAAAACAAAAAATTAAAGGTTTCAAACTTATTGATTATAAAGTATCAAATGGATAAACCAAAAATAAATCCTTCTTTGATTTACTATAATGATTATAATGTTTTTGAAAAATTTAATATCATAACTCAATATTAATGTTTATATATATATATATTTGCTTTTAAGTATTTTCAAACATATTTTTTATTTTAATTTAAAAAAAAATCACCATTATTTTTATTTTGTCAAATTATTTTATTGATGTTATTTTATTTTATTTATATTTGTCCTTATACTTTTTCCAATATCTTCTATCTATTCTTAAATAAAAATAAAATAAGTAAATAATTTATTTGTTATATCCCAGCAACTGTTTATCCTATTTAAACGACCGAGCTTCCGTTCAAGAATTATTAATCACGAATCTTGACGCACAGGTTTATTGATTAATGTCTTACTTCTAAGCTTATTAATAATATATCGTTGGAATTGAATTTTTAAGTCGAGTTTATCTTTCATATTAATTTAGGGAGGCTCTATGCTAAAACACACATTCACATTCGTCGATCAAACATTTCACGACATAATTTTTAATCGGCCTCTACTGGAAAGAGACGCAACAAAATAAAGCCTTGGTGGAAGGTCATTCCATTCAGGTATAGGTGGATATCTTTTTCCATTGATAGAAAATGCGCAAGTCTTTTTATCCATATTCAAATGCACGGTAACCTCGGAGCCAGGACAATTAAATGGTTGTGCGATATCTGGACACCTTCTACTAAATTCGTTATGACCGGTACCACCAGAAGAAATTAAAATCCAACCGTGTGCCTGATGTCCTGCCCAGTCCATGTAATTTAAACCTTCGCTGCATACACCAATTCCTATGTCGCCGCCAAATTCTTCGATTTTAATGCAAAGTTCGTGAATCCCTCCGCTCATTAAATAATTCGTTCTGACACTTTGATAACCTTTTCTCGTAGAAGATACGGTATATCCATCAGTGATAACTAAATTTGAACCACAACCGTTTTCATCCCATTTGATTTCTTTCGGAAGATACTGAATCCCACGAAAAGATGAATGAATTTCTTCACGAATATGAGAACGAAAAGCATTCATAATGTTTTCTTGCGTGATTAAATTTAAAGGTTCAATAATATTGGTAATAATTTTCCCATTAATGCGTCGAAGATCAATAAATTCGATAAGGGATTCTAACTTTTGGGAAATGGGACCGGAAATGTCATCTGAAATATCTGAAGATTCAAAGTTATTAACATAAAGTCCATCCATGATTTTATCCCACGTTGGTAATCTAACTTCAAAAGTATCAAAGGCTTTTTGTGAAGTTTCTTTGGCCGCTAACAAAATTGCAAATCGTAAGACAGAATACTCATTGGTGACAAACATCATCTTTCCGTCATGTGTCATAGAGAGTAAGCGTTGAAATGCTTTGAAAGATAGTTGATCAAATTCAATAGCATCCAAGGGAATTTTGGCGATAGATTCAACCAAGAAGTTTATAATTTCATTATCAACTAATGGAGAAATGTGTTGAACCACCTTGGATAATAATTCGGGAGCGTTCCCCTCCAACAAACAGGTATGCTTATAGAAACATAAAACGAGTTCCTTAAGACCATTTAATTGAAGATAGTCTGCCGCTTGAAAAACACCCAGCGCATTATCCATTGATAAGTTACTTTCAGGAACTAGCTCGGTATATAGATATTCTAGAATAACCTTCATAACCGAGGCTTTGATTTTTGGAAACGAGATTTCTCTTTTGTGAGTTTCACTCATGTTATTGTATAATAATGGTTCGAGAACATCAGAACGAGCAGCCAAAATTGCACGGTTGCCATACAAAATCCCATCTTCACATCTTATTTCCAAGTCACTGTACTTGGAGTTATTGACCAATGATTTTAAGTCTTCAGCAAGTGAATCTCCTCGAACCATGATCAAAAGTTACGGTAGTTTGTTAATCAAAGTACGTATCAAAGAAGATAAGCATATGCGTCTAACTGCGTGTTGCATTAATAGCATTTTCGGAGAATTAACGCCGATCTTTCGAAAAAGGTAAATAGAAATTTCCTTTTTTATATAAAATTTCGTTCCAACACATTCTATAGAAGAAATGAAGTGCTTAATTATTTATATTGCAAAAATTAGTTTATGAATGCTTGAACCTTCGCAATGTGAAGGAGTTCGATTTTAATTTTTGCCAAATTATATCATGGCTATTATTAAATTCATATTATGAAATAAATAAACGACCGCGCAAATTACGCAACTAACGAGATTATTATGATCACCTGTAAAATAATAATAATAATAAATATTCTCTTAAATATATATTTTAAAATTATATAAATATACGTAATTAAAATTTAGTTTTCTATTTTAAAATGTATATACCTTTATATTTGTTTATGAATAATAGTAGGTTTAACATTATCCCAATTAATTATTTCAAGTTATATTCAAATATAAATAATATTAAAATAATATGATTAATATAAAAAATAATCAGTAAATTATTTTTATTTATCATTAATTGTTTATATCAATTTAAATCCTTTTTTAATAGTATAGATAAACATTAAATACAAGATATTTTATTGACTTTGTTAATAATCATTAAGCATCAATAATAATAATACTTGTTAAATTAATAATTATTTTTTTTTATAAATAAACATTATTTTTTTATTAAATTTGTATATTATAAAATATGTATTATAAAAAATATTTTTTTCATATATTAATACAATGAATTACAATGTCTATAGTTAAAAATAGATTTTCAAATTAAAAGTAAAAACATAATTCAAATATTTTTTACAATTAAAAAAGTTTTTTAAAAATAAATTTTTTTATAAAAGTTTTTTATAATTTAGATTATTTCATTCAAATGTTTTTGAGTTATATTTTTTATAAAAATAATAAGTAAATGATTATATTTTCTTCATAAAATAGTTATAATTAATCCGTGAAATTTTATATATTAATTTATTTTTACTTATAATAATTATATAATTAATATTAAAAAAGCAATACATTTTATCTGATAATATTTAACAAATATAAATATTTATTTGGAATTGAAAAGACTAAAGCTGTATTATATTGAAATTATAATTGTTACCATATATTTACCAAGTATATTGGTACTGAATAAATATATTGATACTGAATTTTTTTAAAAAAGGTTGAATTGAATTTTGTTTTAAAAATATTGATTAACCCAAGATATTTATTGAAACCTTATTTAATTTCAATAAATAATAAGCATTGGCTATATCGTATTGTAATTTTTATATAGTGAGATTAAAACTTTAAACATTGTCCTGATTCGATTGATAAAGTTTGAAGTAAAAAAAAAATACTATCGTTTATATGATACAAAATTTATATTTGACTTGAATAAGACAATGATATATATTAATTAACAATATTTATAAATTTTTTTTTATAAAGAATAAACATATAGTTGGTCATATTATACATAAGAACTTTTATTGTTTTTTTTTAGAAAAGATTACAAATAGAAGAATTGATAAATTATTTTATAAAAATAACAAATTCCCAAGTAAATTTGTGTTTTTTATAAAACGATTTTTTGTTCTTATTAGATTATTACCAATTTAAAAATTTTTAAAGAATATTTAATAACAACTACAATACAATATCTAACTATTATCAATTTAATAAAATACGAAAAAACTAACCGTAACTAGTAGGAATACTCTGCGGCCAATTAAATAAATCATACGGATCATACTTGGCCTTGATCTGTACCAACTTTTCGAAATGCATGCCGTAATATCGATGCTCCCAATCCACCAACTCACGATCCATGTAATTTTGATAACTATAATATGATGTATGCTTATCCTGGAATTCTTCGGCAAACACTCTCAGATCTGTTAAGCACTCATCGACCACCGCTTGATCTGTAATTCCTTTCAATTTCATCTCCAACTGCAACATATACAGTGAATGCCTATGCATGAACGCGGTCAAATCTGGTTTGATGTTATTTATTACACCACCACCGTACAACTCAAACATCACGAGAATTTTGCATTTTACCGAGTTTACAAATTGATAGAGTGCCTCCAATCCTTCAGCAGAAAGGCCAGGTGGGTCAATGAAGAATGATTTTACTTTAAACGGTTCTGGATCGAAGCTAGGATAAATGATGGCGCTATCGTTTCCGGCTCCCGCAAAATAAGAGAGGGTACCCCACCACGTTGACTCATTGAACGTAGGTTCTACAGCGGGTGGTGCGTGTGTAAGGAAATTACTAAGTCCTTTACGTGCATCTACTTCGTCGCCCAGGAATGTACCGAATCCAAATAATTTGTATTCCTGATCAGCGTCGGCACACGGATTTAGTGGATTGTTAGGCATGAATGTCATGTACAAGGAATAGTTTTCGGCAAGTAAAGGTCCCCACTTGTTGTAGGAAGCGAATATCGATTGACGTTGGCTGATATTGTAAGATAAGTCGAAATAGGTGATTTTGGGAGGAATAAGGTATAGCTGAAACGTCAGTGAGGTGATTATGCCGAATCCTGCATTACCGGCACCTCTTATTGCGAAATAGAGGTCAGGATAGCTGGAATTATTTATAGGTGAGAGTAAGGTTCCATTGGCCAATACCATTTCCGCGGCTAAAATATTGTCTGAGGCCATCCCATATTTTGGTCCGATGAATCCGAAGCCCTATTGTAGGATGGCATCAAGCGTATTTAAAAAAAACGTACAGTATGTGCGAATAGAAACAACAGGTATGCAAATTTAGGATAACATACACCACCAGTAGACTGACCTCCGATACCAACACTAGGACAACTGCCAGCAGCCATCAGAAACCCTGCCTCGTTCAAGGCATTATAAATTGGTCCAATCCTGTTTCCCGTACCTATGACAGCCGTGTGTGCGATGGGGTCTATAGAAATCTGATTCAAATTCTTTAAGTCCACCACCAACGCTCCGTCCTTCCCACCCAAGCTATAGTCCTCAAAAGAGTGTCCTCCTGAACGTGCTACCACTGAAATTCCCAACTTATTTCCGCAATTTACTACTTCCTGAATGTCTGAAACATCCGTTACATAAACAACCGCAATTGGATAATAAATAGTTCTACAATTGCAATCTTTAATACTTTCATAATATTCATTATCATCGCGGTAAACAATTGTGCCATTCACGTAGGCGAGGCATTCTTGCAATAGAACGGACTCTGATTCTAAGGGATTGGTGGGTGCATAGAATGGACATTTAACACATTCCGTTGATCTTCTGTGTATTGGGGATGCTTGATTGTTGAAAATCAAAAGGATTATGAAAAATAGTGATAACAAATAAAGTTTTACTAGTCTCATTCTCCGAAAAATCTGTTCCTCACGCGTTTTCTCGCCCTCTAAAAAGTTACTAGAGACAGAAAGTTGGAAACCTTGTATTTAGATTAAAAGACGAGCGAGAAAAGTCGTCGGCTTTTTGTCGTTCCCAGATGTCACTAAAAACTTGAGTGATAAAAATCAGATCCGTTTCGTGGCATAGCATTTCGCGTGAAAAAATTTTGCATAGCCAATTATATTTGTATTCTGACATTTATATATCTACATTTTATAATTTTTGATTTTCTGTTTTCAAAATATTTTTCATTCCAAGCTTTAAAGCTACTACAAACACCGAAAATCGACGTTTATCCCTTGTAGTTATCCCTTAATTATCTCTAAATTCGTACGATATCCCTGTACAGCTTTTGAAGCGTTGAGCATTCATTAGATTCAACGTACCATGTCTCCTTTTAATAAGCCACTATAGGTGCGTACAGTATTGTGCCGCATTTCTTCGGCCACCCAAATTTCTTAAGCCCCTCGCTAAGATAAGCATCGCCCACAACAAAGATCTTATTGAACGTACATTATTAACGCAGAATCCTTATTTTTCTCAACACAAAAACCATGTTCATTAATTCTATTTCATCAGACTCTTACTACACAACATCCAACCACAATCCAACAACCCCATTACATGAAACTTATACTCAAACATTCTTAAGTCAATCTAACCAAAACAATATACTCCACCATGATCCGAACGACACTAGTAACATCAAAAGTCTAATCACCTTTACCACAATCAATACTAGAGGTCTCAATAATTCAACCAAACTTAGAACTCTAGCCAATACAGTAGACAGCAGATCTATTTTAATGTGTACCGAAACCAAACTCAAGAAAGAAG